ACGTATGCAGGATATCTTGAAGGTCTCCAGGAAAGGGTCTACAGCCAAACTGGTTCAAACTGCAGTTCAAACTGCCTTGTCCCTGTAAACTATAAAAACTGAGTTTGTATTTCCGGTGGTGTGGCAAACCCTGGCATATTTTCTGCCTATGCTTTGGGTTATTGACCCCCCAGCTTCCTTTACTCGGCTGAATAAAAAGCTGTTTCTTTCTAAGAGCCTCCTCCTGAATTCTTGGCATTGGATTTCTCTGGGATTCAGGGTTGCAAACCTTACATATAAATACTTAACCACCTCCCAAATGCAAACCTAAATCTGGATAAGAAGAATCTGGGGAGCGCTGCAGATGTGGGTGGCTGTTCTGCGTTGTACTGTCAGTTTTCAGTTTTCAGACCCGGATTCGGAGAAGCTGGTGCTGCATCAGCTTCTTCAGGCTTTCCTTGCAAAGGCGTCCAACTTTGCTGAGGAATCAGGGGAAGAAACATGAGAAAACATTGAGGCACAGTTTCAGTGATAGAGATGTTAAGGTAAACAGTATCTCTCTATGTCTTGGAGTTTCCCCCCTTCCTGGCTTTAACTTTCTCCCAGTAGAAGCAAAGGTTAGCCGAGATCATACAACCAGTCGGATGCCCAGATTCCAACTCCCTGGAGCTAATTATGAAACAACATTAGATAAAAGTCAACATATGTTGTAAAAAGCTCTATGCTTCACCGCCTGACAGTTTGTAACAATGTGCTCTTGTAACAGCTGTCAGGCAGTAATGCTGGAAAATGAGTAATATGCTGATTTATGGATATCGGCTCTGCCCTTGCGCTCAATTCAGCGACTGCAAGAGAAAGACACCCTCTTCACTTTGCAGCAAGGGAGTTCACCAGGAAGATATTCCAGAGAGCAGCTTAGCCTGCGTCTCCAGCAGCTCAGAGGTAACCCCACCGAGCAATGCTTTTCAACCCCATGCCCAAATCCTTTGAGTAATTTCCCGACAGCAATTTTCCCCCTTCAGAACAAGATCCTTTTCTTATTATTATTCAGTCTTTTGGATTTCTTTCACTGGTGAGATTGAGACTGAGCCAATCTTATCCTTAAGATAGCAGAGGATGTCTTTCTCTCGCTTTCTCTTTCTTTTCTCTGTCCTCCATCCCCTTGACTACCTACTTTTCCTAGTCTAGAAAAAAAAAAGCATATTTTTGCCTGCCCAAACGGGTTTGCCATGACGTTGCATGTGTGCAAAAGAGACTGCCTCATTTGGGTGTGTGCAAAATGGTGCCTGGCAAGCCTGGTGTATTCACCAAACATGGGAGCCACCCCTTGTGCTGACCATTGAACCAGCCTACCCATGCCCATACTAGGAATAGAATTGAAATGTGGAAGGCTGCAGCTTGTTAGAGAGATTAGCTGCCTGCACGAAAGCAAAAGGCATCATCCAACCCACGAACATTTAATTAGACTTTTCTTCTCCTATGTCCATCCAACTGAATGAGATTGTTTGGGAAAAAATGCAGGAAAAATACTTGGGCGCAGCCATTATGTTAGCAAATCAGTGCTTTCTGCACTGGCTTCACCTTCTGGAAAAAAAAAAAAGCAATGGACTTCTTATTCTGGACTTTATTGCCATAGAAGTAAAGTACCCTTTCAACTCACTTCTGTCTTTGACTGTCAATCTCTACCACCTTCGCTGAATTATTTGGGTTGGGCAAATGGCTCAGGTGTCCTTCTTCCTTTTCTAGGTCTTCTTCAGCCCAAGGTCTCTTGGAAAGAAGTTAAATCAGCTCTTCCCTGTTGTGCCTCAGCTCACATACTCTACTGGAACTTGACAGGTCTTTCAAAATATTTTGGAGCTGAGATCAGCTGAGCTTGGGCTGATGGCGCTTCTATTTGCCTGAATGAATAATCTGCTCCAGTTGAAGAAATTGTCTAGTGCCCCGGCACAAATTCTAGCTGCTGTACTTGCTTTTCTGACCAGAGGCATCAAGGATCCTGTTGTTTGAGCTGTGCCATTTTGTTCCAATGGAATAGCCATTGTTGTGGTCTGAAGGCAGGGCAGGTAGGGGGAGATGGGGAAAATGCCTCCCCAGTTAGCTAACAAAATAATTCCACCTTTACTCCCCCTTAATTTGGAAATTAGGTTATGGGAAGCTAAATCATACCTTCTGCGCCTTAGTTGATGATAAGGTAAAACTACACTGTAATGGAGAGAACAAAGTTCTCCTTTTCTCCTCATAATGCTAGATAGACTTCTACACAGTGGCTCTGTTCTGCTTATTTGAAATTAGCTTCACAAACTTCCTGAACTACATAAACTTCCTGAAAGTAGATGGAGACTGTATTTCCTAAATGGTGACTTTTGACCCAGTTAGTGTGACTGTGTCAAAACCACCATAAGATTTAACTGGGTTAGTGACTGCCTGGGTAAAAGGAATTGTAGGAACAAGACTGATACTCTTAGACCCTTCCTATCAGCCTGCTTCCTAAAGAAAGAAAGTATATAACATTTCTTCTTCCATCTCCATTTATCCTCCCTGAGGACAGAAAGCTCCCAGATGAAAGCTTTCAATCATGACATGTAACTTCCATAATAAAGATTGCCTTTTCTTCTGGACCTTAAGCATCCTTATGGCATTGCTTCTACTCACACATAAATGCTTTGCTAAATAAGGAAGTGAAGGATTGCAACCACGATTATCCCAACTGTTCCCATACACTACAAGCAGCACGTGTGCACAGTGGTTAGTTTGTCACTCAACAGCAAAGCACTTACCTTCCACCCCCAAAATCCCAAAGGTCAGTTTTCATCTTTTATCCCACTGCCCTCCAAAGAATGGAAAATCATGAATGCTATCAAGAGAAGGAAATTAGAATATGTAGAACACATAATAGAAGAAAAATCAATTATTTCAATTAACTAACAAGGAAAAAATTAAGAGAAATGTGGCCCTGGAAAATGTTGCATATCCTGGCTGAAAAATCTCTGTGCATGATTTGCCCCAAATACGATGTCCTTGCTTTGGACAGTAACTTAAGGAGAACAAATAGCACTGATGGTTGCCAACCTCTTGTAGGAAACAATATTAAAAAAAAGACAAACATGGTAGGCCTGCAGAGGTTCTAAAATTATGGAGGCTTTCGACCAAGTAGTTCATCCAGTTATTGCACAACTTTGTAAATCCTTACATTCTTGTACTGTTGCTGTGAGAAATGCCATCTCCCAGCTGCCTGTCATAATGTCAATAGGAATTTTCATTTATTAGAGTGCAAAGGAGGTATGCAACTTGTTTCCTGAAAAAGTTTCATATTCAACTCATTTTGCCTTCTCTTCCAGATTGAAAGAGACACAGTCTTGCGGTTTTTTAAAATGCTATTTTTAACCAGCCTTCTCTCTGTTGCACAGGCTGCTATAGGTTACTGAACTAAAATTTACCTAACCCATATGCTGCTTAAAGAAAGAAAGAAGAAGAAAAGCTTAATTGGCATTTTGAGGGGTGGGGAGTGAATCTAAACTTACTTGCATCCTTTTGCTATTTAGTGCTTCTATTTTTGTTTTGGAGCTTCATGTTGTCAGAGAAGCAACTTTTAACTGAGTTGCCAGTGAAAATGATTTTAAATCAAAGTGAAGGAAATATCTGAGATGAGCTTGACCACATGACTTTATGGACACGTCTGGGTGGTTTTCTTGGCAACAACATGGAACTCATTTCCCATTGTCTTCTTCCAGATGTTTTTTTGGGGACTTTTTACTCCAGCCTACAACTCTTTGCTTTCTTAATGGCCAACCATCCAAGTATTAAACAAAGCAGCCACTGCTTAGCTTTTTGAAATCAGTGAAGGTTGACTAAGGGTTACTGCTTGCTTTCAGCCAGTTTAAACATAGCTGGAGCACCTGGGCAAAACTGGCTACTTGAAAATCATTAACTGATCACCCAGCTGCCAACCTAGAAGCCAGAGAAATGCATAGAAAAGGTAATAATTACAAAATATATACTCTAAGAAAGGTTAGCCTATAGGCAGAGAAAGACTGTGTGGGTGTTCTTATCTAAATAACAGTTTAGTGAGGTGCTCATTCTGTATACTTGTAAATAATTGGGGTTACATGGCAATCTAGAGAGATAATAAATAAACTCAGATATTTGAAAAGATCAGGAGGACTCCAGTGATCTCTTCTCAGTGGAAACCAAATCCAGGTACGTAAGAAATAGATCAGTGGAAGTTTCTATTTAGGACCAAATGAAGCCAGGCCTTCTCAAGGAAAAAAAATTAATTAAATGTAGGTAGCTAGATATATCAATTTTATTACAGCCTTTAGCCAGCAAATAAAATGGAGATAAAAGAGGAACATTTGTATTAAATTAATTAAACAAAGACTTCTGTATGATCTTAATCACTGCTGACTACTAAATCCTAGTTCAGTTAGGTTTTTCCTTTGCTTCTCTCTGCTCTGAATTCTGAACCTGAATCTGGGATCTTGCTGGCAGAGGAAAGGACCATCAGATTACCAACCACATGGCATGGATTCCTTGCTCCATCTTCTCAGTACAATATAATACAAATTGGCATCTCTATCGTCTTGGGCCCCCTTTGGGCAGAACAGTTCCATCGACACTGATGAGTTGGCAAATGTGCCATCAGTGTCAATTTGGAACAAACGAATGTCCAGGCAATGACATAAAACACAATGGCAGAAAGTACTGGGGGGCAGGGCTGGCTCTTTTGATGCTCTTTCAGATCCCTCTGCCTGGTCACCTTTCCCTTGTGAACACTGAAGGAGTATTGGGAAGAAACACATGTTTGGAAGCCCAGATGATTCTCTCCCCCTTTCTTGAAGAAAAGGAGGGTCTTTGACCAGCGCTTTTCCTTTCATCTGTGTTCCAGTTAAAAGTTGAAAACCTCTGCTGAAGCTATTTCTCCCGGATTTCCCACTCCCAGTATTAACCCAGGGGAAGGACCCATCTGGCTGTTATAACAGGAAGCCTAATCCAGTCCTGTAAGTGAGATCACCTCCAGAGGCATCTGTGTTATTAATCTAGGTAGCAATGGAGTAAAAATAGGTGTGTTTTCTTAAGGGAGGGAAGAGCGATGATACATCAACCCCAGCTCAGTCCTTTTGCAAGAATGATCTACCAGAAAAAGCTGCATGTCACGTTATTGGGGTGTCATGAGCCTTATCTGTACACCTCACAAAAAAAGTACTGGATAGACCTGTAAGATGCACAAATGTATGGTGCTCAAAAGCAAAGTGGCCCTATTAAAAATGCCCCTTTGGCCTTCCCTTGCCCCTTGCCCCTTGCCCCTTGCCCCTTGCCCCTCTCCTCTCCTCTCCTCTCCTCTCCTCTCCTCTCCTCCCCTCTCCTCTCCTCTCCTCT